GCCCGGGGCAGGGGGCTGGACTCAACAATCTTCCGAGGTCCCTTCCACCCCTAACATCCATGAAAGCTATGATTCGAGGTGCTTGGTAATGCTCAGTAAGGAGACCTCTCACTGGTTTTATCTCCTTGCTCTTCCCCAGTCTCTACCCATGCTTCTTCTGCCTTTCTGGCAGGATGCTGGGACACCACCAGGCCTTTTAGCGGCAGAGGGTTACGTCTATGCAGGAGGGGAAGGACGGAAAGCCACATGCTATCTAGGAAAAATGGCTGTGAAAAAAAATAGGTAGGCGATAGCATTAGGTCCATGGGGAGCACTGAAGCATCAGCCCCAGTTTTTTTTAGTGAACTGTCTGGGGAAAGATTTGGTTGGGTCCGAGGCTTTTGTGAACGCATCTGATTTTTGATGATGAATTTGTTACGTCTGGGGTGAGAGGCATTTGAAATGAGGAGCCCACTGTGCTGATAAGGGTTGCATCTGGTGAAGATTAGCTCCTTGATGACTGATGTCTGCTGAGTCACCATCGCCGTTTGCATTTCCGTCTTCCCCTGTTTTCCGGGAGACAGCTGGACCATAGCGATTCCCTGGAGGAAGGATGCTTTATCATCCACCCTGTCTCCAGTGAGCGTTCGGGCAGGGAAAACCTGCCTCGTGTTTGGGTTGCGTTATCCCGTTCCTCTTGCTCACTGTTCTTTGGTCTCACCCCCAGCGTTGGTATATTTGGCATAAAGGGAGAGGTATCAATACATGATCTTAAGCCAGTGTATATCTGGGACGGTGCTTATGGAATAAGAAATGTTTTTTTCTCATGTCAACTTGCTCTTGAGAGTTCGTTGCGTATGTGGAGGTGCTGGTGTGCACACTCGTGTTACCTGTAGACACGTGTACAAGTGCAAACCAACCTGATCATGTAGAGCATGAGAGTGGTAGAGCTGGGTGAAAAGACAGGACGTGTGCAATGAAGTTTGCTCCAAGGTGCTCAACTCTGCATCACCTGGTGTTCCCATAAAATGGATCACGAGGCCCTAGAATTGCTTAATAAAATTGGCTCCCTTTTCTTAGCTTTTTTTTGTCCTGCTGTAAAACCAAATGCTGCTGGGCAGGGTTCAAAGAGAACCTCTAAACTACTCTCAGACAGGATTTTGATGCCTGAAAATGTTCCTGTTTGAAAGTCTGGTACCTGAAGCCCTTCTGGGCCCAACAGCGAGGTCCCATTCACGTGGGTAAGCTAAGACTCTCCCTTGCCGTCGGGTCCAAGCTCCCACCTCCTGCCTGGGGATGTGGGATAGGACTGGGCAGAAGAGATGATGCAGAAATGAATCTTGCCTGTCCTGGTTTTTGAGGGGGGGAAAGCCTGGGTTGCTTTTAAAAGGAAAGAGCTGCTGCTTGGAGTATGAAGACCCAAACAGGTGAGCAGTGTTCAGTAGGCAATGAGATGATCAGAGATGTGTGATAAATGTGTTTACCACATGGTTCTTCACTTCATCTTGTGGTTATAACTTATCCCCTCCATGCAATGCATGGGCCTGTGTTTAGATTTGACTTCCCTGGAGGCTCTCATCTACAGGTTATCTCCCTGCAAGCAAAGCAAACATTATAGGGTGCCAAATGCTGCTCTTTGCTTCTAGAAATCAGGCACAATGACAGGCATGATGTTTTGATCTGCATTAAGCCTGTGGCTAAGAGAGAAGTAAAAGCCAGGGTATAAAACTAATCTAGGCATGATGAGATCGCTGCAATAATTGAACATGGCAAATACGTTCTCGTCAGGCCTCCGGTGCTCGCAGTGCTTTGTACTTATCAAAAGTAGCTACCTAAAGTACAGAGGAAGAAGTGGCACCTCTAATGGGACTGACTGCAGAAAGCTGAGTTGAATGCTAATCCCTTTGCGGTCCAGACATTGAACTGGTGGGGATATGTTTTTTGCAGAGAGTCTCAAAACGGGTTTCTTCTGGCTGGACACTTTCTGCCATATTATCTTTCAAGTGGGCAGACAGACTACCTGCCTAGGAAAGATTGGATACCTCTCGTGTGCGGGCTCAATCAGTGGCATCTGCATTACTGTACAAAGCAGTAGTTGCCACACCATGCTCCTATCAAAGGCTTACGTGACACGGGCTGGAAACAATGATTTAATCATCTCTTTACCACAGCTGTCGTGTTATATAAATGTATTTGGTGATAATAAAAAAATAATAAGCTTTCAGCTAAGGTATTAGCAGCCTGTCTTCTTTTTTTTCTCTCTCTCTCTTCAATTTATGAAGTTTCCTTTGCGTTCTGAAACTTTTATAATGATGGTCTTTAACGTACAGCACGTATACATTTGATAACACTTACAGACAATTTGGTTGTAACATGAACTTGTGATGGCAGGCTTGCTTAAAAAATTAATAACAGTAAATGTGCCAAGCAATAAAGGTAGGTATGGAGATTTATCTCATGAAAATATTAGTTGCAGCACTGTTCAGTTCAGTTCACTGTTCAGTTATATGTGTGCGTGTGCGTGTGCGTGTGCGCATGCACATATAAACAAGAGTCATTGGGTAAATGTGATGTCTTCCATTACACCAACTAAATAGTGGGAAAAAATGTTCTTTGCACGCTTTTGTGTGCAAACAATCTTCTTCAGGCGTAGGGAGAGTCTGCTGGTGTTTTGTGCTCTCCTGGGCGGGACAGAATAAATACGCACACAGATATACATGTCCTGCAAATGCTAATGGTAACCCCCTCTCTCTTTTTTTTTCTTTTTTTTAATTATTGCTTCCCTTGCCATCGGAAGTCCCACCCAATTTGACTGTCCCACAAGAAAAATCACCCTTGGTCACACGGGAAGGAGATACTATTGAACTGCAGTGCCAAGTGACCGGAAAGCCCAAACCGATCATTCTTTGGTCCAGAGCAGACAAGGAGACGGCGATGCCAGATGGATCGATGCAGATGGAGAGCTACGATGGGATACTAAGGATAGTGAACGTGTCTCGGGAGATGACAGGAACGTACAGATGTCAGACCAGTCAGTACAACGGATTCAACGTGAAGCCGAGAGAAGCCCTGGTACAGCTCATTGTGCAGTGTAAGTAAACACTGATTTCTTTCCCGTGTGTTTTCTGTGGATGAAGAGTCGATACAGTTTCCCAGTAAACGTATAGCAGCCCGAGTCTGCCCTTGATTGCATGCTTTGCCCCACTGTTATGGTTTTGCGCTTCCCCAAATTTGGGGTTTACAGCGTGAAGACATTATATCATTAAAAGGGACAGGGCCATCTCGTTTCTATTAGAAGGTCAGTCAGCGGCAGTGTAGCTGTCCATGTGTGTTAACGCTGATGTTGTCCGGAGGTTTCACACTCAACTTTTAGGCACAGGGGAAAACACGTGAGGGCACAGGAGCATATTTCTATAAATATTGGCTCAGTACAGATTTTGCTTTTAGACATTATCAAGGAGGAGAGAAAGTAGAGGATACCCAGCAGGGAGTCCGTCTAAAATGAGCTCTCCCTCCTGCTTTGCACAGGGCATTGTTCTGATTCTGAATCTGTGAAAGCTGTGTTTTTTGTTTTTTTTCTCAAAGCATCAGCCTCATTTAAGAGAAAATAGGGGAGCAACAATTTACTTTGCATGTACTAAGCTCTTGTCTGTGAGAACTGGGATGTCTGATCTTGTTGGAGTTTGCAGAGATGCTGATCCATTGCTGGTTAGTGACAGATGAGCTGTTTCCTAGATGTTATTTTCCATTCTGGCTCTGAAGCGATGTGGTTCTTTACTTCCACTTTTTTGTAAAGCGGCTGAGTTGCACAGCCCTCGGTAACTCCCGACTCGGGCAAAGTGGTCAGCTCGTTGCACCCAGGACTCTCCCTTACAATGTACATGTGCAGTTCTTGGCTTGCCAGCTGGGGCCTCCAGGTACCATGGATACAGATAATTTAGGCTTTCTTATTTTTCAAGGTCCATTGCAAGGTTTGTTGCATAATGGTTTCTGCTTGCAATTGCGTTTTGGGGTATTTTAGAGTGCACTCATGACTGATAGAGCTCGTTGCCTGTATTTCACACTCAGCTCAGCTATGTACAAGTGCACGGGTTCCTCTTTGGCAAGCCAGGTTCTTTGGGTTGATGTAATATCTTTTATTAGACCAACTGAGTAGTTGGAAAAAGGTTCTTTGCAAGAATGAACCTGCACCGGAAATGATGATTCCCTCCTTCATTCAGACACTGGAGGGCTGTCGTCTGCTGATACTTCGCCAAGTCTTTGGGCAGTTCCACCCCACTGACAGGCTACTTGTTCAGTCAAAGAAAGTGTTTTATGACACAATGGGACCCCATCCTTGGATATCATAACAACATTATTATTATTCTCCGGACTGAGGCCATCTGATGCCTTAAATATGTGAGTGTGGTGCTCTTTCGCTATCTGTGGATGGAGTTGTATGTAAGATAGTTAATTCTGAAGAGTGGAGTGGAGTGAAGCGTCTCACTCATTCAAAAAAATGTGGCTCTTATGGACAGCAAGGGAAGCTCTCTGCGTGAACAAACACTCGTGGCATGGCTACTTACCAACGTGGTCTGTACATCCCGTGGCCTTGAGATGGTGGCGATGATTATGCAACAGCGGCAACGTTGAGCACTCTTTGCCAACAGCAAGGTTGGCCACGTCACGATGAGTGCGTACTCAGGGAAGGTAGCGTGTTGGAGCCCCACGCTGAGATTGTACACAGGAAATAAATGCAGGTAGAGTGTTAACTGATTGAATAATGGTTGTAGTGATCGGCAGGTAAAGAAACCTGACTCCTGTCCCTTTCTTTTCCACTGACCCACTCCTGTTCCCTCGTCTTCCACTGAACCCGCAGCAAGCTGTTTTTATCTAGTTGCCTTTCCACCTTTCTGCAAGTCTTGTATGCAAGACAGGCTAGGTCGTGTTGTCATCTGCAGGTTTCGGCAGCGTGCACAATCATGGTTTCCGAATCCTGGTAGGTGTGTTCGGCATTACCGCAATGCAAAATATAATGTCGGTCATAGCAGGCAGGCTGCCAGACAGGTCCCTCTGGCAGCTTGGATAACATCAATGTTTACCCGAGGAACATGTCTGAGGTGAAGGCAGAGTTTGGAGATAGTCAATTGGAAATCATTTTCCAGATTGTTGGACTTCCTAGGGGAAAGGCAAACTGCACTCCAGTCTCCTTCACTATTCCCCCTTTTCTAGTAGTAAATCGAGGATCCTTGTGTCTTATTTATTTCTCTGGAGCTTCCTATAGAAATGGGACCCCGATGAACCCAGGTAAAAGCAACGGGCATGATGTGAAGCCTTATTGGGGGCCTTTTATTATATCTGGAAGCCACAGAGATTAGGTTTAATGGGTGACAGAGGCATTTGGAAGCTCTCATGGCCCGGCGTGAGCTGCATTATCCCTGCTCTGGATGATAAGCAGTTTATCACTTTTTCTGCAACCCTGCAGGTAGGTTATGTTGACCCAGAATCCCACACATTAAACACACTTCAAGGGGCATTCACCATGTACTTGGCTTTATAAGGGTGAATTGCTGAATCTGGGCTTGGGTCAATGTTGTGCCCAATTCTGTAGACCGCTCAGAAACACCGTCTTTCTCAGGCTCCACTTCCCACCCTGTTGAACAAGATGCAATAACTCCTATTAAGGTCAGTGGACATCATTAGTTTAAGGGCTCAAATAGTTGGGGATAACCTGCAAATCCAAATTACTATAATTTAGAGGAAAAAGCTCTGGTTTTCACAGGTAGTTAATGCATTATAAAGGAGGTCAGAAAAGTGAAAGGAAAGTGGTTATCAGGTGAATATGAAAGGTACTTGCAGGGGACTTTTCTTAATCTCCATTTGGTTAGCTTTCAAGTGACTTTATTCAGACACCAGCAAACGAGAACGTCAGTGTAAATGGAGGAAGCAGGTATTATGCATGGCCGTTGATTTTTCTTCTGGTGGAGGATGGTATTCATGTGCATGTTAATTTATAGGATTTAATTTAGCTAATCTAGGAATATTCTGTAAGATTTATTATTAGAGGATTCTATAAGTAATAAATAGAAGGAGCTATTTTGTGAAACTGTTTGAATTATGGAATGACTTAATAATTTTACTCTTTACCTTGTATGTGGGGGCGTGTGTGGGGAGGCATTGGTAAGCAGCACGGAGCTAGTTGTATATAATCCAGTACCATAGAGCATAAAAATTATTTTTCTACTTGTGGGGAGTAGAAAACTTGGCCCCTTGTGCAATCTGTCTCTTTCTGTTTCCTGTTCTCTCGTCTCCTTGCCCATGCCATGTGGCTTTATTCCCATGTTACGCATTGTCCAAATTTGATGTTGCAAGCTCCCTAGGCCAGAGACGGTTTTGGGGATACATGTGTATGCAGTGGGACTCTACATCAGCTTTGTGCAATTTGTGAACTTGCTCAGCAAGCTCTCCATTCCCACATCCAGGTGAGTCATAAATATTAAGCAGCACTGACCCCAAAACAGACCCTTGTGGAGTCCCACTTTAAACCTCCTGCCATTCTGAAATGCATCCATTTATAGTTATTCCTGGGTATTCAGTCCATTCTGTATCCACCTAACAGCCATCCTGCCTAACCTGTATTTCTCTGTCTCACGTGTGACATTCAGGTAGAACTACAACAAGTTTTCCTTCAGTCCCCATGTATTGTGCCCACCTCATTCCCTTCATCCATCAAATGACTTTCCGCCTTGGTTGGGCACGGTTTATTCTTCAGAAATCCAGATGTGCTTCTTGCCGTCATCTCCTCATCCTCCAGGTGTTTACAAATTGTCTGTTTTGCAATGTGCTTCCAGGTCTTGAAGTCAGGCTGACCAGTCAGTCTGTAATTCCTCAGGTCCCTCATTTCAAAGATGGGCACCGTGTCACCCCTTCGCTTCTCTGGGGCTTTGCCTGTCGCCCTAGACCTTGCAAATCCTATTGCCATCAGCTCCAAGATTTCTCCAGCCAGTTTCTTCTGCCCCTCTGGGTTGAATTGTCAGGCGTTGACTACTTAATTTTTTTTTTTTTTCCAAATGCTTTCCAGCATCCTCTTTACTTATGATCCACAGCTCCTCCCTTTCTTGGTCTGTATTCATTTAATGGGGACAATGGACACAGGGGACACAGTCTGATTATAGAAAGCTCCTCCGCTTCACAGTTCCCTACAGAGTCCGGGGTCTCTGGGGGGGTCTCTGCTGCATTGCAGTCTCATCATAGCAACAGGCCCATCTGTCTGCAAGGCGGTCTGTGTTGGGGCAGTTCTGAGTGAAGATTTTACCTGAATAAGGCTCTCCTGGTGTTCACACTCACATGTACCCACAAATGCAAAGGCTCTGTGCAGCTGGGGAAGCTGTTGAGAGGGTGCGTTAAGTCCTTTTGTGTGCAGGTTTTATAATACTAGTGTATTTGCATTGCATTAATGCATCCAGATCTTAACCAGCAACTGCCTGCTCTATTTCTCTCCTTCCCTTGGGAGTTTAAATATAATCACTTGGGCAGGGCAGGTCACCTTCTCTGTTTTTATTATTCAGTGTGTGTGCACGAGGTTGGGGTTTTTTGGGTTTTTTGTTTTGTTTTGTTTTGTTTTGTTTTGTTTTGTTTTGTTTTGTTTTGTTTTGTTTGGGGGAGTTGGTTTGGGTTTTTTTAAAGTGTTTTGCTCTCATTATTTAAGTGGGATTTCCTGGGAGGATTTTGGAGAGGGACCCAAAGGTGGCTCTCTGAGTCCCTTTAGACCAGGCAGAGATGTGTCTAAAATGTGTCCTCGCCGTCCTGGAGAGGCCATAAATGACTCCACTGAACACAGATCCCCTGTTGTTGGCCTGAGGACTAGTGCACAGATGTTAAGAGACTTCTTTTTTCCTTTCTTTTTTTTGTTTTTTTGTTTTGTTTTGTTTTGTTTTACAGGGGGTGGGAGTCTCCTAGAAGGAGTCATTGCATTTAACATATATATTAGGTTGCTTTACTCAGCTTGGTGTGTGCTCAAAGGCTGCCTAATGCCAGCTGGAAATGGTAAAAGTGTACACGGTGTAATGCATTTATTAACAGTTCTGTCCACTTGCTGTCCCCCTCTGCATC